TGTGATACGGGCGGAATTATTGCAACGCTGCATCTCTACGACACTGTAAGGTTTTCTTATTGTTTTTTGATTCACAATTCAAGCAATAGAAACTAAATGTATTTTTTTACATAGAGTCGCGAATCATGGTATTAAGTATCGTAGTGGTATGTGTGCTCCTTCATCGCGACTCACATCGCGTTCTGAGGAGTAGACAGGGACGATGTCCACGGGCACACGAGGATCCAACCTGGGGAATCCCTAAAGCGCGACTAAGATGAATAGAGGAGGATCCACCATAGGCAAGAATACCTCAATAGGGCAGACCTAGAGTCCTAGGGTTAGCGCATAGACTTTTTGCCACAATTAAGCTGGTTCCTGGAAACCGGGAACAATTCCATGCAAGGCAATGCAATGCAAGTCAACGTGGAGTATTCATTGGAGGAAAAGCGAATTGAAAAAGCAAATCAAATCTTCTTTTAATGCCATTGTGAGCGAACAAGAAACCGTTATGTGAAGAGAAAAAAGGAAATAAACAAGTAAGGGGGCGGGGGGTGACCGGGGGGAATTGCTAGGTCAGGGCAACACCGAGAGACTACCGAGAGAGCACCAGGTGCCATTTTGGGGATTGTGCATGATCGCATCTGTGCCTGTCTTCTTATGTTGTGTACTATTGATCGCTTTTGCAGCCTGTCGCTGATGCTTACTTCCTATAGGCCGCTCAACTTCGTCCCTGCATCATCCGACCCAAATGCCAAATATTCTATGAGACAAATCATTGTCTGTACTTTGTTAATTCTACAATGCTTGTTTCACTCTGCCAGCGATGCTAAATTATTCGATAGAGGCAAAAAAACCGGATTTGGACATTCGAATTCAGTTGCACGGTCCCCGATCGTAGTAGTCAGGCGCTTTGAGGCTGATAACCTTTATTGCAGATTGCGTGTCGAACCTATTGAAGTATTGGTATGAGATCACAAATCAGAAGTACAATTCAGGGACATTCGCAGTTGCGTCAGTGGCAACCGTCAGCACTTGCCCTCAGACACATATAGGACCGGGAGTGTTGTGCATACCGAAGAATGTCAATCATCGAGTGGACACAATAATAGATAGTACAATATTAGTTGAGGTACAACATAGTTGTACCTAGCCTGGGATCTCACGCAGCAATGGTACGTAATCGTGTAGTATGTGATTACCGAAAAAGGGCAACTACATGTACTTTGGACAGAGATAGTCTGCCTCGATGTTTCACTCGCCACCGCTGCACATATCCGAAACCAAGCAATGCGATCAACAGGGGATCATACATAGAGAGCCTCAACAAGTCATCCCAGAGCCCCAAAAAACCACAGGCAAAAATCTCGCAGTCAACAGCGGTGGCGAGAGGCTCACTGTAGATCTTAAGATGTACGATATCTCGACGATCACCCCAGATAAGCCACACTCCATTCACAAGCCACCAGCGATCACACTCTACGGGTGGCGCGACCGGGTAGGCTGAGGTGGCTGTGCAGATTGAGGTATGACTCGATGCGACGAAAGCAAAGTCACTATCGAAACCTTCCAGCGTCGATGATCACGACATTGCGGTGGATTAGGCGGGTTGAGTAGGTACTTTAGCAGTGGTCTAGAGGTTCCAGGAACGGGCCCGACTGCAATACGATATCTAGTTGGTGATTGTGGTCTCTAGTGTCGAAAAGTGAAGCATGAAGACGGATTTGGTGGGTTTGTGGTGAAGGGAAACCCTATACGAAGGTGAAATCCGTCCCTTCAGACGCAGGGGCCGACAGATCTGGGGGAACACCTTTCTGTTTTGGGGTTCGGGATTCGGTCACCCTTGCTGCACTGAGGTCTAAGCATTAGGAAATTGATCAGCGAAAATGCTCAGGCTACAAAATGCTCAGATAGATTCTCTCCATTTGTAGATATCAAGACTGAAAGTCTATGTATAACTTTAAAAGGTTACATTTATGTACTCCGTCGATGTATAGAACCCGAGTCAGGGAACCTTAACCAAAAACTTAGAAGTCAGAAAGTCCATGGGACAACCTCCGTTAGCTTAGGTCTTGGCGGGGCTCGTTCACTTCCAGGTTCCAGGTTTTCGGGACTCACACAAAGTACAATAGTCTTGACTAACTGCAGGAATAAATGCATCTTGTCAATAGACCCTGAAGAAGCGTGTCAAACCGGTTTTCAAGCTCATGGGGGATAGTTATGCAGGTATATCAATAAAGCGTGGCGAAGGATTTTAAGGAAGTAGTTGAGATGCAAGAAATAGAAGGAAGTGAAGTGGGGGCTTGTCGGGGGCTAGATCTGACAGTCGATACAGAGCAATATCGCACTGGCGGACACAGATCGACGCGAGAGCGATAAACGATCGACAAAAAAAAGAGGGGCCGAGGAAAAGAAGTACGGACCAGCAATTGTAGTCCAGTTGAAACCTAATCTGACTGCTAAAATGAGGTTAGTACGGCTTTTTTTTCTCAAGGCGAAATTCGTTAGCCTTATGGTCAAACGGATAAGCCCTGTTTCATCTCCATCCACGCGATGTGATACCAAGGCAAACAGTGAGATAACAGAATTCCCATTACTATGGAGAACCGGTCCCCCATTTCGCACACCTGCAGCGGTGACAAACATTCGAGGCCGATCACTATCTGGACGGGGACATGTTTCAAATGAGTGGCCACGGTCGTGGAACGAGCATCCAAAGAAGAATGCGAAAGTTTGGCCTCCGACTATTAGCCACGCAGGTCGAGAGCAAAATGAATGCAACATCGAGGACAATCCCATCATTCGGGTCTCAACTGACGCGTGATGGGTCAGACGCAAGTGCCAGCTTAGCCCGACACCGTCCGAACCGTTAGGGCGGATTGGCTTTTTTTTCTCTTCGCAGACCCAGCGGGATGGATGACAGTTGTTCCCCGAGGCTTGCGGTGCTTTTGCTTTTTTATCTTCTCACATTCCAATGGAGACCGAATGACTGAATTGATTTGTTGTCCGTACGGGGACCCCCTGGAGGTATGTACGGCTTACATCGTAGGGCGGATGGGTCGGGGGGGTGGAGGGGCGGGGACTAGACTCAGGTAGGAAAAGATAAGATAAAAGAGTATCAAACAAATTGAATTTTATAAAAATACAATGGCCGATCCACCAGTGACGATGACACTCTTGGCGAGAGGAAATAAGGCGGAGGAATAGGGGAATGTTGTCGGTGGAAGCTCTGGAATCCGAGATTGCTACTCTCCGGGAGAGATGCAGCGTCAACCAGGTTTGCACAGACCCGAATGAGTTCAAACGTCTGACCTGTCGCAAAAGTACGAATGAGATCGATCCAGCCTCCACTATCGTCCGAGCGAGCTCATATTTTTGGGTTATAGTTATTTCCGTGTGTCTCTGGGTGTCCTCGGGTTGTTAAATATTGGGTATTTTTGTTTTGACAGTAAATACAGGAGCATAAATACTCTTTTCGCCGTCAAGGGTTGCTTCTGAGACCTAGAGTGGAGAGTAATAGGAGATCATAGAGTCGTAGATGGGTTGTGCATCATGATCGACACGGCTAGAAAGTCCGGGGACGAGATCGACCTGCATGTACAAATAGACTCTGCTCACATTTCACGGAACCTAAGAGGTACAGCCTAGACATTCCAATGGAGTACAGCGAGCATGATCCAGGATTGGTGGAGAGGAATAATGATGCATGAACCAGAATTAATAGGGATTATAGGTGAGGTACTATAAAGTGGGTAGGCCGAAAAGGGATTCCCGATTATTCTGGCTATTAATCCTTTTAGTTAATCTTGTATTAATAGCCAAAGGAATAAACAATATACACAATAATACTAAATATTAAACCGATTTAAAAAAAAAAAAAAAAAACAAAAGGCGAGGGACGCCGATCCAAGTCTCTCAAGCAGCACCGTCGGCCCAAAAAGGTACCAGGAACAAGCTTCCCCGTGGATCATTGCTTTCTCATTGCCTTACTGATTTCCGGGCTCTTTAAGACATCGTTCCCTTCACTACTCCTTGCTGTACTTATAATCTCCCCTCCCCTCAAGCCAGATACACTTATACACCACCCCCCTACCTCTATTGATCCAATCTGAGACCCAGCCTCCCCTTCAACCGTCCATCTTAAACCGCGTCAAAGGGCTTCTGACACCAATACATCGCCTATCGTCTTGGTGTTCCATACCAGCCCACCTTATTGTCCCGTTTGGACGCGAAACAGCGCGAAACATCGATCAAACCTGCAGGCCTCGAGGCACTTCAGTCGATCCCAGCCCAGATCCAGCCGTTAGAGCCTTTGCCGCGGTAACGGAGGATCTTATAGTCTACATTCCTAGCCTTGCTTGGAACCTCTAGCACGCGACGCGTCTCTAATTTTGGTCCCAAGTCCGAATCAGAGCTTAGACCATGGCGTATAGCTGTAAGTCGGATCTCCACCCCTCGGGATTCTACGCAGGACCAATTTGTTTATTTCTGCTCGTTTGTCCTCCATTCCCTTTGCTTTTGAACATTCTTTCCTTTCCCTATACTCCGGGACCTAATACACATTCTCTTGTCTTCGCTTTGCCTCTATCTCTTTCCATCCCTGCCTTTCTTTTATAGTTACCTTCATTTGATCTTTCTTTACCTCTCGACCCTCGCTCTGTTCTCTCTACTTGTCAATTGCTTGACCTTGCCTTTCCTTATTACACACAAACACAAACACCAAAAAAAAACACAAAACAATTGCTAAAGTCCCCCGGACAGGTGACACTATCAACTCGGTTGCATCTCGGCCTTTCAAGACTGAGGACTTGGACGATATGAGATCTCACGGACAGCACATCTCTGATCGTTTGACCGTTGAAGTTGACTGCCACTCTTTGAGCTCAAGTGAATGCCCCTCGATGACTTCGGGCTTTTCTCCTTTGGACTCTCCGACTCCCACGCCTACCAGTCTTTACAGCCAAGGCTCAATGGCCTCACCTGGATGGCACGACCATCCTCACTATCACCACGGCGTCCCAATGGAGCGTCGAACTTCAGCTACCCCGCTACGTAGCGCATTCCGCATGGCGGATCTCACCTCGAGCGAAACCATGATGGGTATGCCCTGCGGCACGATGGACCGACAGGACCAGATGCCCCTCCCAGACTATCTTCCTGGGTATGATGAGAACGTCGACCAACTTTGGATCCCTCAGGATATGCCAAAGACATACCATGAGCACCAGTTTCCCTACCAGGCCTCGATGCCTCAGTACAACCAGATGGCTCGCAACTACTACCACCGCCCTCAACAGGCCGGATATCTGCCTGAATCGGCCTCCAACCCTTGCTTGTCTCGTCCAATCTTTACCCAACCCACTGAGCGGATGCCTAATTCCGCCTCAATGTCTAATATGCTCCACTGGATGCCCTCCCACGAGTCCTTGGTACCTCAAACCATCACCCCGGCTCAGGTCCAACCCTTTCCTTCAGGACCCGTGACCCCTCCATCTTCTTCCTACTCCGACTTCCCCACCAATATCCCAACTTTCAAGTCCCACACTCCTTCTACCCCCCACCGATCCGTCTCTATGGGGACTCCCTCGGGATCAGACACTCCGGTCAGCCGAATGTCCGGACACAATGATTATCAGGAAGACTTTCAACTCTCCCCAGTTTATCGTGAAGGCATGATGCAACGACACCGCCAGCCCTCGCGCAAGTCCTCTAAGAAACAGCTCCTCCGCTCTAACCTGAGTCTCGAGAACTTGCCGTCAATCATCAAGCAAGTGCAGTTCAAGTGCAAGGAGCCTGGCTGCAAGGGGCGTTTCAAGCGTCAGGAGCACCTTAAGCGTCACATGAAGAGCCACTCCAAGGAAAAGCCTCATGTCTGCTGGGTTCCTGGATGTCACCGTGCATTCTCCCGCAGCGACAACCTCAACGCTCACTACACCAAGACCCACAGCAAGCGGGGCGGTCGCAACCGCTACGTTGCGACTCTCGATGAGACCAGTCAGGATTTCGACCCTGATTTCCGTGGACAACTTACTCCCGACGGTCGGCCCATCTACGGCAGCAAGCTTGAAGATACTATGCCTGACTGTGGCGAGCTGAGCGTCGATGGCTGGGATGATTAGCCGAATGACCGCACCAAAACAAAATCGAAAATCGAAAAACTCCCAAAAAAAACACACAAAATCCAATTCCACATGAGTCTTCCAGAGGAAAATATGGAATTATAAAAACACAAAACCCAAACTTGGCCCTTGGCCTCTATTGATACCCCGTCTCTGGCGGACTGGCATTTTAGGCCAGATTGACCTCTCGCCCGGCGTTGTACATGTCTCCTGGAGGAGAGGCGACTTTTTTGATTTATTCCCTTTTATTTTTCTCTTTCTCTTGCATAATTTGCCTGGTGCCAAAGGCTGGGGTTATTTTCTGAACATGGAATTGATGCGGCGTTGCATATGTCTTTCTCTTTTTTTTCCCGTTCTGGTTTGGGGGAGATCGCCAACTGGGATAATCATTTGGGAGGAACACCCTCAGGGGTCGGGCGATCGTGTACAATCTGCTACAACGTGTTGTTGTTCTATTCTTTTTCTCCATTTATTGCTTGTACTACCACCCCCATAATCGCACACTGGCATAATATACACAAAAAACCCAGATCTACATTGTTGCACTGCATTCTCATTGCCTCCACTTCTTGTATACCACTTCCCTTTTAACAACTTACTAGGATTCTGGGCTATGGGCTAGAATGCTACAGCTTGGAACCTGCTCACTTCGCCACTCGCACGGTGGGGGAGCTATGACATGCCCCAAAAATGTTACACATCACAACCCTCGGGGCTCTAGATCTTTAGTTCCTGGATCTCTCCAAACCGATCTATCTGGTCGATGAAGTGGATCAATGTGGCACAAATCGAGCCTGCTGCAGACATGATCATGGTCAAACTGTACTTTTCACTCGTCTGTCCTCGGAGCTCTCCACACATTCCACTCCTAAATGGGAGTCTTCTCATCACCCCGTTTCAGAAACGCCATGTCATCATCTCTACACCGCGGCTATGGACATTGTTCGTCTACAATTAGAATACTCCTATACTTTTAATGTGGAACACAGTGCCCCGAATATGCACTGAAACACTACTCCGTACTGCAAACCACAATGGACGAGGAGTCGATACTCCACTATATGACCTGCGCCACTTTCGACAGCGCGACCAATATCGCTAGTAGCATGTATCAGACAGCCATGTGGAGCCCCATTCACCCGTTCTCTGTGAAGACTTGAACCTTGCAAAAACCCTCCAACGTACTCCATAGTTCTAAGTATAGCACCGCGAAAAAGCAAGTATAGAAACGAGACGGGAATGAGAAAAAGCAAAAAGATAATTTCGTGCTACATTGGACATGCTTCATGGCCAAGGATCCCACACCGTAGAGCCGCGCTCCTACGTGCCTGGATTTTCGCCACCGTGGGTGTTCATGCGTCACCCCATTCCTCATTCCCAGGTCCACGGGCATGAGCGCTTTCCGAGCAAAGCAAAAGAAGAGATCAATGCCCTATGAGAAAGGACCCATTGACCTCCGGATCAAACCCGTATTTTTTTTTTCCACTAATGATCAACGTGCATGGAATCTCTGACCGTTCTTCGAAGTCCAAAGGAGGGTGTTCGTCGGCCTTTTTGCCCTGCACATCCATTACCGGCATATACCCCCATCTATCATCTTCAAAGGTACAACATACAATATACAGAGTACTAGCCTCATTTATTTTCCGATATCAGAGATATTCCACTAATTCCAAACCGTATTCCTCAACTCCCCACCTACTCTTGAATTCCAAATCCCATTCCAAATAACTCAGTCCACCCGCTACACCGATGGTTGGCACATTGTGCGGTGTGGTGATTATTAGGCACGACGTTAAATTAGCCCGACGCCCATGTCCTGCATGAACAGTTACACTGCGCTATGTATATGCCACGCCGTACAAATCGGGAATGGGGAGTCCGTCCAATGGCATGGTATGCGGGAATGATATCCAATCACCTTCTATCGCCTTCGCACTCTATTAATTTCCATTCCTGGGTTTCGTCCTATAAGAAATACCGTCTGGAAATGCATCCGTCTACCCGCTAATAGGCTATTGATCCTGTATAACGAAGTATTGTTTCCCCGTAAATATTTGTTCTTTTCTAGATTGCGTGCGCGAATGATCGGTAAACTGTTTTCGCTTCGTGTTCCATTGCTATTTAGAGATCTCACTGCAGCGATTACGAATGCTTTTGGCTTTTTCCTCTTCTGTTAGATTTCCTTAGAAAATATCAGATAAAACGAACGTTTCGTTAATGTGTACACTTTTATCACATTCCAGGGGGAAACTCTCCCCACATAGACAATGCCTATTAACACACTCGTGGACCGCATCGGCATGTCTATGCGCATGGACTCGATTATTAGGGTAGAATGTCGTATAGTGAGACATTATACAGGGTTTAGAATAGCATAACTACGGGCCCTCTAGCATCCGAACCAAACCGTACCTATGTCCATGCAATGGCAATCTGGCTTGGCGTTTATATGTGAGAACCCTTTTCGATTGGCCGTGCATACACGCTATACAGATCTACACTGACTATGTAACTGCACGGATCGTACGATGTACTTTGTACATGCATTGGTATGTGATATTAGAGTGTCAATAAAGTCGCTTCTAGGCTCTGAGATTGGGTTGTTTTAGTATGAGTTATTTCTGATTCATTTCTATGCAATGCAACATCAACATCATTATACACTCCAGTCTGTGTTTATCAGTGTTAGTGAAGGGGTCCGGCTATTCTTATTCGCTCGGCTTACTTGGTCCTCGGGTGATGTGCGGCGATCATCCCTCGCTTGAGGTCTCGAAGTGGCCATCCTCACAAGAATCCATATATTTTCGTGGGTGTCTTATTTCCCGCCTTCCCATTCGATGGAATTGATTGTATTGTTAATTCTTGAATGCACTTCCAATCCAGTCTTAGCCCAGGCACCATGCTATTATGTCCACTCGTCTTCTTCATCGGGTGATAGTACTCTCCAAGTCATAAGACACCAAAGTCCCATATGAGTCCATCTTTGAAATGTATAACTACTCGGCTGTTGATACCTTCCCCGATCGGGAACCAGTTTAGTCATCCACGGACTCGGCCGTGCTGACACATCATTTATGTAATCACACGATATAAAAACTCAGCGCTCAGATTTTCCGTAGATCCTTCACATTAAATCCGACATCTTTTGTCTACCACTCGACCATACAACAATGCGCTTTGCAAAGCCATTGCTCAAGGGATTAATGTCTTCCCTTGGTCATTGGCTTTAGCCTTGCCTCTATATACCCTCCACATCTCGCGAGACACTCTGGTCTCTCCTTACTATGATGATCACCAATTTCTATTGACATGAACTTCTCCATGAATGTTTCAAAAATATCAAGCTCAACAGTCTGAGTAACGATTGACCAGAGAACAGTCTCAGGAAGTGATGGCCACCGACCAACGGTCTTTTACTGGGTGGTACATACTGACGATATCTTTTGATATTCCCCATCTCCCTTTTTTCATAGCTCTGATACCTTATGTGTCTAATTGAATACTTACCATCATTATTATGTGCCTTTCCCTTTCACACACAGCTTTTCAGCTTATAGCACGGATGTCAAATTGCGATCCGGCCCTTTCATGGCCGCGGTCGCGCCGAAGAAGTGCTTATATCGAAATGGAGATTTAACTATTTCCCTAGCCAGTGAGTACTAGATTTTTGTCCTACGGTTCGCCCGAGATGGCAAACATCCATTGAAGATCTGGAACATCCCGTATTCGTAGACTTTGTTTATATGAAATGAATATCACTTTGATTGTGCTTCGTCTTATCCTTTTCCTGTTCAAGAATATGGGCTTAGTTTGAGTAAAAATTCAAAGCGATATTGAATGCCTCGTGATGGTATGACATTTGAGCTTTGGTTTGAGATGTGCTTAGACCGATGCTGCACCGTCAAAATGTCTGCTATACGAATGTCTAGGAGAATAAACAGAATCCAGTTCTTGCATTTTGTGTTATCAAATTCGAGGTATTTCCACAATGCAATTTCCAACCCAAACCCCATAGTCGCGTCGTGATATCAAATAACGCCTGTACAGAATGGTATCGAGTTTGAGAAATCCCAGGGTTCCCACCGAAAGCCGCGCCGCAATAGTACAATCGAACGAGAAAAAAAAAGCAATAAAAGTAACGCCATCCTCCCCAATCTCCACGATGCCTGGTCCCTGTACAAAACCCCGGGATTTCTGAAAAAGAAAAGAAACAGAAAACAAAAAGAAAACGCGAAAAAAAAAAGCCAAAAGCAGAGACAGCGAGCGGTTGCTAACCAATGACCCACTGCCATTAGGTAGATGCTCATTATAAATCGACCTCGAGCCAGGTTTTACACTGGTCAATTGTAAATGTGGAGAAGTTTCTGTCCTCGCCGGTTATCAACAATCTCGTATGTCGCCACATTTGATCAATGCCAGCAGACAGACTAGCCTCAGTTATTCATGCCACCCATGCTGTGCATTGAGCCCTGCGCTTGCATTTGCTGGGCTTGCAAGGCAGCCCGCTGTTGCTGTTGTTGCTGTCCGCCATCCCGCTCGCGTCGCATGACCTCGGAGACCCACGCTTTCGCGTTCTTTTCCAGTCCAGGGCCATACTGCTGCGCAATATTGGAAGGATACTGGTTTGGCGGGCCATACTGAGCCATGTAGCGTGTCGACATATCATGTCGCATGCGAAGTAGCCGTTGTTGATAGAGCTGGGTATATCTCTGTGCTTGGTTCATGGGCTGTCCATTTTGACCCATGCCACCATTGGCCTGTGCAGCTGCCATCAGCATTTGCTGCTGTTGTTGGTTTAATTGCTGATTGCCTTGGTGAGGCTGGGTTTGTTGGCCCTGCATTTGTGGGTGCTGGCCTTGCTGCTGCTGCTTGACTATTTGCATCTGCGCATATTGAGCACGCATGAGCTGAGCCTGGTATGCTTGCTGGCCTTGCTGAGAAACTTTAGGAATACCCTGGTGTGCTTGTTGCTGTTGATGTTGTTGTTGCTGCTGCTG